AATTTATGATAATATGAAGCGAAACTCTTTTTATCAAGAGTATTCTTGGGTATCCCCCAAGATGTAATTAACCAGTAGGAACACGTTCCTCTGGAAGTGCTCTTGACCCCAGCACAGATACATACACATGACTTTCTGGTTACGGGTAGTATATGTAGATACTTCTTTCGCAGATATTGGTTTAAGGTGCCTCCGCCGGATCTTGTTTGGGCGGACATTCTTGACCTATCCTTGTGAGGTTTATCGCACGTAGACTCTCCACGTTTTACTCTCTCTTATTTGTCTTTTTACGTATGTTCCTTCTTATTCGGTTCCTCTCTTCTTCGAATCACTAATTTAATTCGGGAGGGAGATTTATTCGAATGGGGGAAATATACGACCATCGATAAGCTGACAACTCCCTTTAAAATAAAAAAAAAGAAAAAAACGAACGGAAACAATGGACTAGCCGGCTGAAGACGCAAGACTTGGCTTTCCTTGGTAAGCTTCACTGGGTCACGTCACTTCTTCTATTATCCGCGAGATGTCTTCGTAATTCATGCTGACACATTTTTAATGTACACCCCCAGTTCAACGTCAGTGAGAAGTGATCAAGAATTGGCCATAACCACTCCAATTCTATGGTGCACTCCTGAATCGATCAATCACCCTGTACCTCTGTTTGTATCTCATGTTGAATCTAGAACACCCTCATGTGGTTCTCCATCCCATCATAAATTCACTTCAGTTTTACCCAGATGTCCTTCACCTTTCATATGTCATCTATTGAGGATGCAATTGACAAAAACATCGAGTTGAGTAACCAAGTGTAGATTAAGGTAGTGGCTCCACTTATTCCCCTCAACATTGTCATTCTTTAGTTCGTCCCCAATCAGATATCTCCCTAGCCTATTCCCTACTACAGTCTCGACCAGACATGACCAACTCAAATATGTGGCCAGTCCATGAAGCATCAGATCCACAGAAGGGAGCTCTAACTTCACCTACATCGAAGCATGTGTTAAAGTAGTGGCTCCCGTAAAGACGCTAACTCACTGTATGAGCTCGACCAAGATCTTCAAAATTTCAAGATCTAGTTTTCCCGGAAGCTCCAATCCTTTATATTCAGCATTATCTCCATCTCCTCACATCCTAGAACACAAGAATTCAAGTCTATATCACACCCAAATTTGATCCTTCGCCTCTGTACACTGCGATCACGCCGTGGTCTCTGGAAGTCGTGATCTCTACACTGTGATCGCGTCGTGGTCTCTGAAAATTGTGATTTGTATCTACTGATCCATCATGGTCTTTGGAAGCTATGATCTATATGTTGCGAGCATCACTGTGATCTCATGTCGCGACTCGTTTTCTCACCGGTTCTAGGTAGGAGTAGTGATCCTGTGCTGCGATCGTCACGGCGATCCCATGCCTTCCTAGTTAGTGTGATTGTATCGCGGGGTTGTTGTCCTTGCTAGCTCTCATTGAGACGGCTTTGTGAGGACTGCATGCAGATCCCGACGATTGAACAACACCAAAGACCGTTGCGATGGCTGCTAGGGTTAGGGCTCTAATACTAAGAAAAAAGAATTGTTGAAAACCTCCTTTGTACATTCATAGATGGGCTTAAATATGGTATTACAATATTTTACAAATAAGCCCCTAGCCTTCTTCAATATTCCCATTTTACCAATAGTACCCTAAATTAGGTCCAATTCTCAACAAGTTCGGTTATGAAGACACATGAAGAATTACACATCTTACATGTATGATATTGTTCATTTAACTTCAAATTTTTATTTGTGGGCTTGTTCAAAAAAATGAAAATTAATATCAAACCAATAACCAAAAAAAGTGAATATTGGGAATTTAAAAATCGAAAATCTAAATGCCTTTTTGAGATCAAACCAAATAACTCAACCTCCTTCGGTTCAGTTTGGTTTTTCACTTTTAACCAAATAATGTGCACCCTTACTATTTTGCATGAAGCAAAAAAATTTTAAGAAAATTAAGTCTGACTTGAAGCAAAGATTAATGAATATCCTCCGATGGTACATTAAGCAAAGATGAATCAACTCATTTGAATTAGATTGTTAAAATCATCACAAAAGAATATGTAAGAGAATAATTACTTTCATACCTTACGACCAGCAAATCTTTGTGTCAATTCATTGATGTGATATTTGACCGCTGGAAGCTCAAGTGCCCGCTGAAACCGGTCAGAGTCTATCCCAATAGGAAACTATCGAGTTTTTCAAACGTGATATGCATGAAAAAAAACAAAATAAATAATAGGAAAAGATCATATTACTCTAAAATACATTAAATACATTTATGGATTGTAAAGATCCGAATAATGAAGTTATTAAATAAAGTGAATGCTTGACAAACATATGACATGCCAAAATTAGAGAGCTGGACCATACCGCAGCAACTCGTGTCAGTTTTCCTTGGTCTTCCACTCCCTCTGGCGTGCCTTCAAGTCCCAGAATTCTAGTGCAAGCACTCACAAAATGTCGTGCATAGTCATATGTGTGAAATCTGAATTACATGATAAGACAAATAGTAAATTTAGTGATAATTTATTATGATTCGCTAAAAAGATAGCCCATCTTTAAAGTGCACGTAGAATTCTTCTGAAATTTTTCCCACATAACGGGAAAATTATTAAAAAAATACACATCATAGTAACTAATAGCATGATATAAAAACATCTAAAAAGAATAAATTGTGGAATCCAGATCATTAGGGAAATAATTTCCTTCAGAAAGGGAACAACTTATGATCCATTAAAAGGCAATACCGATATACCTTAGAGGAGAGAAAAATAAAATCTGCAATCCTTATCTAGCCTAACAAATACATTCCGCACACATAGATAACTCTTGGATATTATAGATCATTTCTTTTCCAGCAGTCGTTATCATTACCAAAAGATTTAAATAAAAAAGATTCAACTCTCACCAACGGCAAATTAATCCAGATGAAATTAACTTAAATAATCGGTGTTCAAACTCCCATACCATCCACACAATAACGAAATAGATGCTTTAGAAACAATCCCCAAAGGCTTATATAAATAGAAACATATTGGGCAAAGCAGGTAGGACGTGTTCAAACTCCGATACCATCCACACAATAACAAAACAGATGCTTTAGAAACAATCCCCAAAGGCTCATATAAATAGAAACATATTGGGCAAAGCAGGTAGGAAGGGCATGCAACTGGGTAAACCATACAAGTCTTAATAATTATAGAGTTCGCCACATTACAAAATCTCACCAGTCCATTTCAAGAATCAACAAAAAACCACTATTCGACCTCTCGTTCACATGTTTGGAAATATAGAACAACCATCGAAAGGACAGCAATAATTCAATATGCTTTCAGCATCCATCCAATCACAACCGCAGAAGATAGCAGTTCACAGCGTTCATAACCATCTATTATAATGTGAAAGAATTGAAACAACAAAATAAGTTTTCCCTCAAGCATTCCATTTTTCATTTCATGATCATGCTTAAAGCTCCAATATTTGCATTAAATAAATAATTGCACTGACGCGAATTGACCAAAAAGATGGAAATAAAATCCCCAAAAATGTTGATTTTTTAAAGTTACCGGAGTTAACCAAAACTCCAAGAGGGAATCAGATTTGTATTATGCAAAAGAAAAAAAACCTATAATACAATCAAAACCTCAAGACAGGAAGAAAACACAACACAAATATCTCGTTAGGGCTACGCAGGATTGCAGTGGGTGTACAGGTGAAGTGGCTCGGGTTGGTGGACGGCCATGTTAGTAGTGTAGGTAGGGAATTGGTAGGTGAGAGGAGTAGGTTGCTGGGAAGTTGGGGGTTGACCAGGCGAGGGGAAATGGGATTGATGGTCGACTAGAAGGGGGCCTGTTGGAAACAGGTTACGGCACCTGCGGCTGAGAAGAGGAGAGAATATGCGGCTGGAGGAGGCTAATGACGGGATGGAAGGTTGGCGGCTGGAGTAGTAGGGTATGGGGTGTAGGCGGCAGTAAAAGAAGGCTGGAGGGGGAGAGGGAGTAGATGACATGCAGTTCTGGGGGGTAGCTGTGGTTGGGGGCCTGTTGGAAACAGGTGCCGGCACCTGCGGCTGAGAAGAGGAGAGAATATGCGGCTGGAGGAGGCTAATGACGGGATGGAAGGTTGGCGGCTGGAGCAGCAGGGTATGGGGTGTAGGCGGCAGTAAAAGAAGGCTGGAGGGGGAGAGGGAGTAGATGACAAGCAGTTCTGGGAGGTAGCTGTAGTTGGTGGCCCTCGGTTTTGGATGCCAAAAATAGACAGACGCTGATCTGGAGTGTAGCGGCAGAGGTGGAGTCCTGAGGCTGAAGGTGGTGGGCTGCAGAAAAACAACAGTTTTGCTTTTGCTGAACTGTTGAGACAAGGAATTCGACGCCTGTTGTGACAGAGGGATGCGAGGAAAGGGAATGTAGAGGATAATCACTACTTCAAAGCGAGATGCATCAGGAGCCCCGCTCATTCTCGGATACAGTCCTAATAGAGAAAACTGGGGAGGCTGACGGCTATCCTAACAAAAACACAGCAAAACTTCATCCTAAAATAGAAAATAACATACTTCTAATAGAAGATAACTAAGAGGGGGAGGCCCCTCCCATTGGGAGGCAATCCTAGCACATAAACAAGAACGGGTCAACCCCTAAAATCCCTTGGCTGAACTGGTTCAGTCATTCCCCGTCCGGTTCAGCCCTCAGGGAGCACCGCATTAGTCTCTTAGGGTTGGGGGAGCTTCGACCTCATTCGTCGAAGCTTATGTCTGCACGTTGATGGCGACAATGTTGCTAGAACCTGCCGAGGCTGAAGGATCTTCGACTTCAGTCCTGGTAGCCCCTGGATCCTTGGGAATGCGATGCGGTGAAGTGGAAGACATCAACCATATCACGTCCAAATGCGATACCCTTACTGCGGTTCTTCTAGTGCTGCAGTGTTGGGGGACTAACATCCAAATTTTTAATAACTTTAATGATATTTGCAGGTGGCCGAGCAAAGTTTTGAGAGAGCAAAGTGCAAGTGGAAGAATTTTCTACAGTGTTGCGTACCAATGTTGGAGAGCAGGAAACACAAAGAAGCATGGCAAATTTTATGGCACTTTGGTTGTTATGGCTTCGACCGTCCTCTCATAACTTATGTGTATTCATGCATACCCCATTCAGGAGCAATGGCACATCTTTCAGCTTAATAGGTTGTTATTTTCTCCCCACTGGTGTTACCCTCGGTCCGATTAAGGCCAATGTGGATGGGGCACTTCTACCGAACAATCAAGTTGGCTTGGGAGTGGTGATTCTAGGTGAAGCTGGCCAAGTTTTTACTGCGGTAGGACATAGTTTTTACACTGGGATAGTTTGAGAGTGGAGTTGGGCACGATCTCCTTTTTGGGCTAGCTTCTTCAGCCGTGGAAGATGGAAACTAAAGGCATGATTATTGAGGGCAGCAATGAGTACTTTTTTCTCTTCTTTTAGACAAGTTCCTTTTTGTTTTTGCTCATAGAGAACGTGGCAAAGCAGCTCATTTTTATGCCCAACTTGCTTAGGATAGAGGACTTTTGTTTTTTGTCTTTCGTTTTTTTTGAAGGGAGGATAAGTCTTTTGTTTGAGATGCTCATACTTATAACCCTGTTTTTTTTAGCGTGGTGGAGGTTGATGCCAACCACACTACGCTTTTTGTGTAGCTTTTATAGTTCTTTTTGTAACTTTTGGAATTTAATGCAAAATGCACACCCGTCATGGATCTCGCTATCAACTGCACTGCCTCCCAAAATACCGAAGAAGTTTTCTTCACTTGTGAGCATACATCCATATTGATCCAACATTCTGAGAGTACACTACTAAACTGAGCTGAACTTCGTGTCACACATCATCTCTCAAATGCTCTCAAGGTAACCCAAGGTTGACTCAACCTGATCTGAAGTGAGAGTAACTTGAATCTCCCCACACGGTGGTGGTCATGGAGGTAAGGTATCGATCCTGAAGTCCTAAAATGCTCTCTGTCGTGACTGTCTCATGTTTCGAATTGATGTCTCAAACACCAGACTTAAAATAATAGCGTTTAACTTTTGGTTATTTCTTTTTGAATAGTTGCACCATGGATTTAAAAGAAGATTTTTATCCTTTTTTCTGGAAAAAAAATTTGTGACAAAGTCTTTTATTTTGGGATTAGGAAGTTGTCATGGAAGATATCTCGAGGATTGAATCATTGATCATCACCGTCATTCTTCCTTCTTCACCTTGTACGAGAGAAAATACCTCATTCAGATAATGTAGATTTTCTCTACTTAAAATATGGATTCGAATTCAAACAATTTCATTATTAAGTCATTCTAGAAACTCAAATATTCACTCTCGCCCCACGAATTTTTTAAGGATCACCTTGAGATCTTAATAGTAATCCAACTATAAGCAGTAAACCTTAATGGCATCAAAATATTCAATGAAAAAAATATTATTTTATTGGGTAGTGGTAAGCTTTATCTTAATTTTATAGATGAGTGCAATATCTTTCACATTGCAGTATCTTTCACATTTGATGTAGAAGAACATTAAAAGCCCACTAATCTCCGAAAACAAATTGTTCCGTACCCATATCATAATCATTAAATTAGTTTCTTCTAGAAAGTAAAAATTTTGGGCCTTTAAGCACCAGCAAAAAATCTACAAGTTGTTGAATCTTTCTCTTTTCCCATTGAAAGGTCTTCATGATTTTAAATCATTTAAGATATTTTTTTTTCATTCGAGTGATAAGATGCTTGAAATATCTGGACTTTCTCATTTGGTCTGATTTTTAATATTAGTCAAGGTTGAATCCTTTGAAAGAAAGTCAAATAAACCAAGATAAAGTGATTAGAAAGAGAATTTGGCAAGAGTGGTGAGGTTGAAAGTGAAAACCCTAACTTTAGAGAATAAGAATAAAAACTAGAAATAATATCCTAATCTTGCTCTAATACCATGCAAAAAACTGAACCATCAAAAAACACTTACAAAAATCTTAATTTAATTTTTTACAAGAGGAAAGATATATACATATATTAAATTGACAGAGGAAAAAACTTAGGGGTTGGAAAGATTCTATATAAAAGCACAAAAATTTCAATCCGATGGTCATAAAAAAAACAACATTAGAAAGCCTCGATCCGACGGTCCTATAGAAAAGCACACGGATTGTAATATGAGGGACATAGAAAAATAAATTCAATAGTACAAAGTGTTGAGTATTGTGAAGCCATGTCCACTTCTCTTAATAACGGTTTTTGCATCTATGGAATGTATTTAATGTATTTAATTACATGTATCTCTTTCCTTGATGACTTCTCTCGTTTCGCAAAATCAGAAAAAGATCCTAAATTCTCTTGCTCGATTTTTTTTCCCCCGCTTGCTTCTTGGTCTGCTCTTTCACCTCCGCTTCTTGCGATAAAAAGCCACGACAAAAGGAAGGGAAATTGATTTTCATGCGTGAGTTGAATTTCACGGGACAAGCCACTTCTCTTTTTTGCGTTCCTTCTCTATTTATTCCCCTTCAGTGGCATAGGGGTAGAGAGGAGAGAGAAAAAGATGAGAGAGAGAGATTTCTTGTAATAGTCGAAGTTATCTCTATGGAAAGAAACTTCATTTTTCATTATTGGGAAAATATCCGGAAAAGATGGATGAGGCTGAATTGAATCTGTTGAATTGACAAGTTCTGGGAGTTATTCGATTAACTCTGTCGAGATCCATTGGACACAACGTCATCAAAAAAAGGACAACTGCAGATCTCATGGCAACTTCGTCAAATATGTACAAAAAACCATCAGCGAATAATAAGGTAAACTTGATTGAAAAGTTATTCAACTTAAGGATAACGGATAGTATGTTTGTCGCACAACATCTGAATGATTTTAATACTATTACAAATCAATTATCGTCTGTTGAAATTAAATTTGATGATAAGATATGTGCACTGATATTGTTGGTCTCATTGTCAAATAGCTGGAAGTCATGAAGATGGTTGTTATTAATTCTACAGATAAATCTAAACTGAAATAAGATAATATTCGTGATTTGATTTTGATTGAAGAGGTGCGCATGAAAGATTTTGGCGAGATCTCAGGTTCAAGTTCAGCACTAAATGTTGATTCTATAGAGAGATCACAGAATGGGAACTCAAACAGAGGAATATCAAAATCAAAGTACAGAACTAAGAGCAAGTCAAATTCTAGTCCGCAAGCAATCTGCTGGAATTGTGGAAAAATTAGACACATAAAGAAGAACTGCAAAAATCTCAAGAAGACAGAGAACTTCAATGTTAATGTTGTAACTGAAGAAGTGCAGGACACACTATTGTTTGTAGTTCACAGATCTGTTGATAATTGGATATTGGATTCAAAAGCTTCTTTACATACATGTTCCCACCATAAGTTAATGCAGAATTATGTTGCAGGCGACTTTGAGAATGTATATCTGGCTGATTGAGAATCTTTGAACGTGATAGGGATGGGAGACGTTGACATAACACTCTCTAATAAGATCAAATGGACTTTCCAAAATGTCAATAACATTTCTGACTTGAAGAAAAATCTCATTTTTCTTGGCAACTCGATGGGTGTGATCATTCAGCAGTGTTCTCGGATAGCACCTGGAATGTCACAAAAGGGGCACTTGTACTGGCACGGGATAAGAAAACCTAAACACTATATATGACCACTGGTTCAATTAACAGTGTTGATACCACCACTGCAGAGAGCACAACAGATTTATGGCATTGCAAATTTGGTCATATGAGTCAGAAAGGTATGAAACAACTTCAGTCCAGAGGCAAGCAGCCAGAACTGAAGTCAGTTGATCTCAGCATGTATGAGAGTTGCACTATGGGGAAACAGAAGGTCAGTTTCTTGAAATGTGGCAGAGTATCAAAGACAGGAAAACTGAAACTTGTACACAAAGATGTGTGGGGACCTTCTCCAGAGGCATCTCTTGAAGGCTCTCGTTACTATATCACATTCATTGATGACCATAGTAGGAAAGTATGGACTTATTTCTTGAAGCATAAATCTGATGTATTTAATGTGTTCAAAAATTAAAAGGTCGTGATAAAGACAGAGATGGACTTAAAACTGAAATGTTTGAGGTATGACAATGGTAGTAAGTACATTGATTGTAGGTTCAAAGAATATTGTGAAGTTCAGGGTAACGGAATGGAGAAGATCATTCCGGGGATACCACAGCGAAATGAAATTGCATAACGTGTGAACAAGATCATTAATGAGCGTGCTAGAAGCATGAGATTGCACGTCGGACTACCACCAGCATTTTGGGTAGATGCGGTCAGCAATGCAGTTTACTTGATCAATAAGGGGTCATCTGTTTCATTAAATTGTGAATTATCTGAGGAGATCTGGAGCGAAAAAAAGATCAAATTTTCTCACCGGAAAACTTTTGACTATCTCTTATGTTCTTATTAATTTTGATGCTCGAAGCAAACTTAAGGGTAAGTCAAAAAAAATTATTTCATTGGTTATGGAGACGAGGCATTTGGTTATCATTTCTGGGATGATCAGGACCAAAAGATCATAAGAAATAGAAATGTGATTTTTAATGAGAAGATCATGTACAATGACAAGTTCAACACAGTTTCCGATGTCACTTCCTACGAATCCGAGTTGATAATGTTTAATGACTTACCAAAGGTCACAGTGTTGGGCAGAGATGTAAGTGATAAGGAGAGTGAGTCCGGTGCACCCATACTAATTGTTCTGCAGTCAGTTGCAGAGTCATCCACCCCTATAGTTACAGTTCGCAAGTCAGTCAGGAATAGATGTTCTTCTTAGCATTATTCACCAACATTGAACTACATTCTGTTGACAGATGGTGGAGAATCACAGAGCTATGAAGAAACCTTGCAAGATAAAAATTCGAGCAAGTGAGAACTGGTCATGAAAGATGAGATGAATTCGCTGTTAAGAAATCAGGCATGAGAGCTGACAGAACTTCCACCATAGAAGAAGACATTGCACAAAAAGTGTGTACCGGGTGAAAACTGAGCATTATAGCACTAAAAGGTACAATGTTAGAATTGTAAAAGACTTTCAGCGGAAGCAAGGTATTGATCATTCAGGGATCTTTTCTCATGTAGTGAAGCTCACAACCATCATAATGGTATTGTCTAAAGTTGTCACCGAAGATTTATTTCTTGAGCAGTTAGATGTAAAGACAGTTTTTCTTCATGGAGACCTTAAAGAAGACATCTACATACACCAGCCTGAGGAATTTGTAGCACAGGAAAAGAAAAACTCAACTTGCAGACTGAAGAAGATTTTGTATGACCTAAAAAAAGCTCCTATACAGTGATACAATAAATTTGATAAATTCATACAAAATGAAGGGTACACCAGATGTCAGACAGATTATTGTTGCTATGTCAGACATTTTGACAATTCTTACATTATTCAACTATTATCTATTTCCTTGAATGTATTTAAAGCTTACGGTGAGCATAAAAATACAAAATGAGTGTTTAAATAATGTCCTAATTAATAAGACTTAAAAATTCGCTTAATGGAATTCTTATGATATTATATCTAGAAAAAAATTAAGTGTTTTTCGATTTGTTAGTTGATAGTAATTGATTCAAAAAGTATTTTTGGGAAACTAAAAATAATTCAATCACACCATATTAAGAATTTTGAGACCTATTTAGGCTTAACAAGAGAGAAATTAAGAGAAGGGGCAAGATTGTTAAAGATTAATAATAATCCGACCTTAAAATGATATTTGCACTTCTTTCATTACACTTATATAATATTGTTAGAAAATCAAGGAGTCCCACATGAGAACTATAAATATAATTGAGTATTAGTTAGATATGTGATTACTTGAAGACAAATAATAAATAAATTTTGGAAAATTTATATGAAATAAATTTACATAACTTTCTTGTTTTAAATGTCATATTTTTCCCTATTTATCATGATTTTATGCTTGTGAAAACATTTGGTAGTATTTTACAGGTTACAAAGGTTCACAACGCATTGTGGAGCTTTATCACAAAGGGAACAGAGTAGTGAATTGGCCTATTATGCATTATGCGGCGTCATTACATCGGGTTTGATATATGATCGGCATAGTTACGTCAAGCCTTAGCATAATTAAGACGACCTGCAACATAATTATGCCAGGCAAGGGCGTCGCCACGCCGCGGCCTGGCTAGGCTTAATTTAGCATCTTTTGCATGGCAAATTTGGCAAGTGATAGATAAAGAGAAGCTTTGAGATGCCTTGTGCAGACTTAGAGAGGATTCTTGGGTCATGAAGTGATGAAGTGTGCAGACTTAGAGAGGATTCTTGGGTCATGAAGTAGAGTTTCATTTCAAACCCTATGGTTCTCTTCCTTCTTCCTTTTGGGAGGGGATTTCTGAGGTGTTTTTTTCCTTAAATTGGAGAGTTTGTTTGAGAGAGAGACAGAGAGAGAGAGATATTAAGGGTTGTGTAGAGAAATCGTGGAATACTTCCTTGTATAGCAAGGATTCAATGTATTGCGAATAATACTTGGCTTGATTTTAAGTTTGTGTATTCTCTTTCATTTGTATCTTCATTGTATTTAATGAAAACTTTTTCACTTTTCTATCTCATATCTCTTAGTTAATCCTCTTTCATGCTCCTCTAATGTAAAGATGGGATATTTCTTGTTGTTTCGCCGAGTTTTTTTCTCTTAAACGTCTTTCGTGTCTTTGAATTTCATATGTGTCAACTTTCCGGATAGAATGTTAAAATCTTTGGTGACCTAAGACTTACAACCATCGCCTAGATGAACAAGTAGGTTAACATATAATAGTATAGTGAAATAGACATATTGTTATAAGGAAATTATAATCAAGATAGGGGGTCCAGAAAATCCTGAGGTTTTTAACTCTTCTTATGACCTATATGTAGGCTAATAAATATTGTCCCTAGTTGTCAACTATCACATAGGGGAACTCATAGGAAAAACATAGAGAGAACACTATACCAATGTCACAGGTACATAGCCTCATCATCTTAGTAGGACTCAAAGTTGCTTCGTTTATCATTTTTTTATTGTGCTTTTAAGACTGTTAGGATTTTCATTCCTATCACTTCACACTTCAAACTAGATTCAGTGGTTTAATACACAAGAACTTCCTCAGAAATATTTTGATAGCAATACTAGTAAGATCAATAAGCAGACTATTTATCTATATATTACTTAATAGATAAGTACACTTGTGTAATTGACCGACCTGTCTCACAACAAATTTCGAGCATCATACTCCACAGTCAATGTTAGAATTTCTCGACCATGCATGGATAAAGTTGTGGTCATGAAAATCCTAGACACTCATTGTGGGAGTCTCATATAGTAATGTGCATACTTTGTTATTGACGTTTAGTTGAGGAAACTGCCCTGAAATTTTTCATAAGCATGTATTTGTGTATTCATACATATGAATAAAGGTGTGTGTTCTCTCCCCAATGCCCGAAAATGTAAACCTTTGCAGCCTTTTAAAAAAAGAGGATAGAAAGGGTAATTTGTAGACATTCTAATTCTTAATGTTTAGTCTGTACAGTTGTGAGGCATTTTAATAAAAAAAGAGGATAGAAAGGATAATTTGTAGACATTGTAATTCTTAATGTTTAGTCTGTACAGTTGTGAGGCATTTTGCACAAAATTTTCTAGCAGTTGAATAAAACGTCATGCAATTCAAGGTCATGTTGCCGGCAAAAAATCTCAGGGTTATCATAAGTGAAAAAATATACTTACCCAACTAAATCAGCAGCAAGAACAGATCTAAGAAGCTCTAATCGAGATGGCAGCGTTCTGTGAATCTCTGATGAAGGAAAAGGAGTGTGAAGAAACCAACCAACTTTCATATTGCTGTTATAGTCCTTCAGGCATTTTGGAAGATACATAAGATGGTAATCATGGCACCAAACAACGTCCCCCTCTTCATAATGTTCATTCACAACATCAGCAAACATCTGGTTAGCCCTTTTATATGCATCAAACTGAGATTGGAAGCTGCGAGTTGTTGCAAGCCTATCTTCTTGAGGAAGTCCAAGATAATGAAAAAGTGGCCAAAGGATATTGTTGCAGTAACCATTGTAATATTGATGTACTATTTCTTCATCAAGAAAAACCGGAATGCATCTCTGCCAGAAAGAGAAATTCATTCGCATAGTTATATTTCTTAATCCTTGCCGCTAAGATAAAAAAAAAAGTAAAAACTCTAGAATGTTAAAAGACCTTCTCAGCCAGTGCCTTTCTAAGTGCCTTTTGCCCAACTAAATCCGGCACATTTACGCCAGCCCATCCAATCCATTTAGCATCAACATCCTTAACACCTGCATAGGCATCAAGGCAAGCCAATACATTTTCAAATTATCATGCATGCAAGACATACCATTTTTCAAATAATTTTACATGTTGCATGAACTGGAATAGATAAGAACAAGCAAACAGACTCTACAAGGCAAAGATATAACTATAACTCCCAGTTACAAGATCATATGAACACAAACCTCAGCAATCAGAATTTCTATGACTCGTAAATCCATACGAAGATAAGTTGCTCACTATAAAGGAAATAACTTTGATACGCTTACCAAGAAGCGCACTGACAAGGCCGCCAGCGCTGACCTCCAGTGACCAGGAATCCTCACCACGCCGGCATGCAGACACTGGAAGACGATTAGCCACCACTAACAGTCGTTGCTTCATGGTCTTCCCCTCTGATGGCCTAAATCCATTTCCAAATATCCTAGAAGCAAGAGGGGAGGCCCCCAACATCTCAGCTTCATGGACATCAGCCACTCCCATCTCATCTTTAGGGAGGAACTCGGGACTGATACTGTTAATCCACCTGCTGTCAGGTGCATCGTAGTCATCGTTGCTGTAAATTTTGTTGAACTTCCTGAGTTCCCTTTCACGAAGCAGCCTATCAACCCTGGTTTGGCTTCGACTCGTGTACTTGTTTCCCAGCATATGGAGACCGCCGGAGGGCAGCTTCACAAACCCAACAGCTTAGATGAGCCTCTCCACTGCACTTTTTTACAATTGAATGAAACATAAACTAATAAGAATCTGAAAATAACCAAAAAAAAAAGAAAAAATCAAAATTTGATTCACGCCGACTAGCAGCAAGACTAGCAGCAAATACTGTAGTTTAGTAAGGAGAAAGCGTTACGGTAACAATCGAAACATATGTTTCTCTCTCCGAAAGATAAAATTCACGCCATTCCGGCTCATGCCACAGGTACAGAAGCAGAGAACATTTAAAGCTAGTTAAAAAAGAAACAGGATTCTAACTGATAAGCAAGCACGATAAAGGAAACAAAAACAGAGATAAAACGAGAAGGTTTCCTTTTTTTTTTTTTTTTTGAGGGGAAATTATGCCCAACCCAATGGGCCACCGTTTCTTCGCCGAGAGAACGACGTTGACAGAACACTGGAAAATTTAAAAATCCCACCAGCATTGGAGATCACCGCAGCAAAAATGGTAAAAGGTGAAAAAGGGAGAAAGTAAAGAAAAAACTGTAGTAATTTCATCTTAAACTCGATTCACCTCCATATCCATACACAGGCAACATTCAGTGTTATTAGGTAAAAAACAAAAAACAAAAACTAGATTCTAGTTCAGATAGCAGTATTAAGCCCTCATTCTCTTCCATCTCTCTCTCTCGATCAATCGTCCGACGAAAACGTAGATTTCAAACGCGATGAAATGCAAAATTTAGAAAGAAGTAAATCGTCGGAGCGTTCGGCAACTCGCCTAGATTTTAAGTGCAAAAAGATTTGATACAGAACACAGAAGAAACGGAAGGGCAGAGAAAGATTCACCGCTTCATTTCCTCCTTGAATCCATTCCTGCGCGCCTTAACCCGCCCATCAACAGAGCAACCCGCTTTCTCCTCCCTTTTTTCTGCGATGAATTAACGAAGAGAGGATAGGAAAACAGAACCAATATGCAGGTTGCCCGTGCGACATGCATATCAAAATCTATATATATATATAGTAAGGCCGGTGGAACCAGCCGGCAAATTTTCGGCGTTTTGATTGGTGGCATTGGCCGGCAACTCGGCCAAATTGGCGTGTTGAATGATGAGTGCAACCGGTTCTTGAATTGGATTTGTTAAATGCCTTGTCAGGCCCGGCCAATAAGTTATGTTTGGTCTGATTATGGTTGGAATGGTAAATGATTCGATTTCAAGTTGAGTTGGAAATTAACCCGATGGATTGAGATAGGCTTGAAATCGATTTGTGGCTTGTTATATTCTATTTAAAGCCAGCTTGGTACGAAATTCAATCAAGCTTGATGCGGCTTGAAATCAAAACGAGCTAGCTCAAATTGAGTTTTTTGGATCCGTTCAACTCGAAATCAGCTCAATCCGACTCAAAATTGAAACTAGTTATTCAAGTTGAGTTTATTTGAATTTGTTCAGGCTCACAATCGAGTAGAAATTGACCGGTGAGTTCTTATATTCAATTTTATTTGGCATTATGTATATAATTTTTATAGACAAAAACTATTTTGAGCTTATCTAGAGTTTGAGCTGATCCATGTATAGCTCCAAATTAGCTCGAAAAAAATAGATTCAAAATTTTTGTACAGTTCGGCTAGTTAATTTTGATCCAAGCAAAAATTTAAATTAATTTTTGAACGATTAAAGATCTTCGAGCTAAATTCACAGCCCCAGCTCAAGCTGAACTCATCAATTCATGCATCAGATCATTTAAATTTTATTAATATAGATATTTTGTTTCTAGAGATATCCTAGCATTTAGAAGAGTATGGAGCTTTATTTTGCTAGGTATTTACATAAATACCAACCGATTCTTATTTAATATTACATATCTACTACCAAGTTCTTCCACGGTAAACATATCCACCACTCCGCCCGTTAAAGTTTGCCAACAGGATCACGATGCAGGAGTTGAAGCTCTCGAAAGCTGGTGGGATGTTGGTGTAGGAGTTGAAGCTCACGAAGGCGGGTGTGACGAAGTGGGAGAAAAATGATGCTTACCTTCCTCAATGATTTCAGGTAAGAGCGGATCGGAAAGAGGAGAAAGATGAAAGTTTCGGAGGACTTCGTACAATGTGATCCGGTCTTTGCCTTCCCTTTGAAGCTTTAGAAGGTCTTTGTACGTTGTGATTTGGTTCTTGTCTTCCATTTCAAGCTCGTGAATGTGGGTGGGAGGATTATGGTATGGTTTTGAGTAAATGTGGGGTGGAAGGAGGAGAGAGAAGAGAGTTTCGAATGTCTTTGTACGCTGTTGTTGAACTTTTATTTGTCTCTGAACTTTTATTTGTCCATCAATCACATTCAAGGAATAAAACGTAACTAAGTGTACATTAGAAACACATTTACATGAATCTCGATTGTTGAACTTTTATTTGTCTCTGAACTTTTATTTATCCATCAATCACATTCAAGGAATAAAACGTAACCAAGTGTACATTAGAAACACATTTACATGAATCTCGAGGAGATCCAATGAATAAAAGGACAAATGAGTACGACTAAAGGGGGCCTACAAGTAGAAGACCAAAGGGTTAATAGGCAGAAGATCAAGAGTCCACGGGCTGAAAACAAAGGGTTCATTAGCGAAATACCAAAGGACCTACCGGACTACATCAATCCCACCTTAAATTAGGGCTAGAAGTCAGTCGGGTGCAGGCCACCCGAACCGAAGGCAGAAGCTTATCAAGCTGAGCAAAGGCTTCTGTGTGCCTCGATGCACAACCCAACTTAAGGGAAGAGTTCATCATTTACAATCATCTCATGGGCGCCCTTAAGATTCCTCATCAAGGGTCGATGATTGATCAAAACATAATAAACGAAGCATCCCAAAGGATCCCCTCATTAAGAAGTGAGTTGTCTATAATATTACGGTGATTCACCCTCTTTCTGATAGCCTAGACTTACTTTGTCAACAGAAGTTTCTCATCTAGGTATCCATAGTCAACAATCAGCCCAGAATAGTCAACCGACAAAACCAAGCCGATTAAACTATGTTTGGCCAGCCCAAAGACCATTAAAGGTCGATCGACAACAACGATTCAGCACATTTAGACAAATTGGTCTCTCCGAACCAAGACCAATTGATTTCAACCAAACGAATCATATGGTAGCCGTGCCGAAGGCCTATACATATAAGATGCCTAAAATATCTCGTAATACCCTCATAAAGCAAAGAAAAGTATGTAACTTCATATATTGTACCCCCTGTTTTATAAATAATTGGATCATTTCCTAAGAAATTACTAATCAATCATTCATATTATTGTTCATTGATGTGCACTTCCCTCTTTCTTTATCTCTATCATGTTTTACACTCTATTTATTGGGTGTGATTCATAAACAAAATCGAATTCAATGCTCTAAAAAGTGTGGTGAGTTTGTATCATGCCACAAATAATAAGAGGAGCAGCACATGGAGTAAAAATCCCAACAGACGCCAACAATATGGAGTGCACCACGGAGTTTGTTCATCATCAAATTTAAATGCTAAAAGGTCACATGATGGATGCCCTCAAGGAAAATTTGGCTCGGGGAAGGGAGCAGAACCTTCTAGAGATAGGACCGGCGCCCAAAGATCAAATGGCATCCCTACTTGTGGAAAGGAAAGAAGATTTTTGGTACTTTGATAGTGTTAGGTTGTCATCGATATATAAACAGTGATTCGGGTGCACTGAGGTGCCCCACTAGTAGAGTGTAAATGAGTTGAACAAGAGCGACCCCAGCTCAGCTCGTGTTCTATTCATTAAAAAAAATAGTGTTCTAGTTCAGTTCATTTATATTTTGAATACAAAATTTATTCATGTAAGGCTCCTTTGCTTAACAAGTCGAACAAAGTGCCGTATAATGTTAAGAATAGGGGCAAAATTTAAATCTTTTTATTTATATTTAAAAATTATTTAAATATAGCTTAATATATTTTTATTCTATTTTTTAATTAATAATTTTAATTGATTATAAATCATTGTAGCTTTGTAGACAATTAATTTATTTAAAAATAATACTCATCACTATATATATATTGAA